GTTTATAAGGTAATTAAAGACGTTCAAACCAGCTTCTGAGAGTGTGGCTTTTTATGGAGTCTATGGTTTCAAGGCTCTAATCGGGAGGTACAGTTGTATGGGAGATATGTTGTATGGGAGAAGCGAATAAATTCTAATATATATGTACGTATGTATATAAGCAATTTAACCATTTTTTTAAAACGAGCTCCATGCTAGAATGTTCTGAAGAACACGAGTTTTAAAATCTAATATTTGACAACCTTAAATCAATCATATAAAGTATTATTAGAAATTGTTTTCTATATAAAGAAATTAAATTAATTAATATTATGTTTTTGAGATTTTTTCAACTAGTTCTGGAATTCATATGCTAAAATGAACTATTGCCGATTAACTTATTGGAAATACTTGAGAAACACAACAATACTCATCATAACTGATTGTAGCAGTAACGGCGATATCATTATTTCTAAGACTGCTGCTCATAAAAATCATAAAATTTTGTTTTCATTATAAAAAAAAAAAATCAAGGAATAAATAAAAGAAGAAAATTTCCCAGCAAAACCTTTTATTACCAAGTAAGGGGTTTGAATACTTAAATTTACTTACACAATAACATTTTAAATAATAATTTTAAAACGATAATGTTATTAGAGGCAAGTACTTACCACAACTGCTTACAAGTAATTAGGCAAATTAGTCAATGTAATATAATGCATTTGAAAGTATTTATATAACACATTACTAATATGACGTTATTAGACTACTTCTGTGTAATCGATATGTTGGAGTCATTGAAAAGTATGTTAATAGGTAAGTGGTTACAATTGAAAGTTATTACCTAGTTTTGGATGGGTTAGTATAAAGATATTGAATTTTGTATATTAATCGGTCAATTTATAGAAATTATTCGGTTTATTCGTTATTTGAAAATGGAATTTTTTGATTTATTCGAGCGATTAATCGACAAAAATGTATCAATTAATCGTTTGATTATTCTAATAAAGACGTTTTAATTGATTTGTTTTGATGATGCGTATATAATATTCCCATAGCTGAATATAAAACAATTTTTATTAGTTCTATAGTATCTATACATATATATAAAACTGAATGTTTGTTTGTATGTTTATATGTTGGAATTTTATAGACTACTTGAAATTTTCACAGCTTATTCCTGTATGTCTGAAAGCCAAATGGGCGAGGAGTCACGCCCATATTAAGAAATTATTAAATCTATATATTTGATATAATATAGTTAATTAGTTAGTTTGAAAGGATGATGTACATATATATATCAAATCCGAAGAAATACACCTAGGCCTTAATCGGGCCTGTTGTGCGCTTCTTAACCAGTGCCTCAGGTGGGAATCGAAGCCACCACCTCAGGTCTACCAGACTAGAACATTAACCAATAACCTACTGGAGGACACTGAGATAATATAACAGTTAGAGTCCTGATTTTTTATGACAAAAAGTGGGTGGACTAGCATTAGGGGGCGTTGCACCTCACATATAAATTAAATACCAAAATTAATTTATCTTGGAAACTATTACAGTTAGAATCTTAAATTTTTGCACGAATAACTTTAACATCCATGTAAACATTTGGGGAAATAAATTGGCGGAATACCCATGAGGGGAGTGGCACCTCGCATATTAATTAAATGCAAATTAAATTAAATTATCTGGGAAACTAATAGAACTAAATTCTTCAAATTTTGCATGAAGATTCATCTGAACATTTTGGATGAAAAAGAGCGGACTTTCATCTGGGGGGCTTTGAGCCCCCATATGAATTAAATAGAAAAATTCGTATATCTGAGAAACTACTAGAGCATTCATCTGAACATTTAGAGTATAACGTAACATAAGTAAATCTGGAAAACTATTGTAGTTAGAATCTTCAAAATCGTTAAGTGGGTTTTTTTTAAATTTATATTGCTTTTAGGGTAGCAAAGCGCACTGGATATAGCTAGTACATATATAAAAGATTCGCGTTACTGACTGACTGATTCATCATCGCACAAAATTATGAGACACCTGTTTCGTTCTTTTTTTTAATTCAGTTCTTTTTGGGTGTAAAAGGGAGAAAACTGTATTTTTGGTACTTTTTGGCACATTAAGAAAACTTTTTAGACTTATTGACGTACATATATCTAATAGGTTAGGTATTCAGGCTGCAAAGACGCACACTTAGGTCCTGTTTACATATACCTAATAATTACGCAATAACTTTGTAATATGTATTGAAACAAAATATTTATTATTTCACTAGGAAAAAAGTACCAAAAAGGGGAAAACTAATTGAGTCAATTCTTATAAAATTTAAAAAATATTTAATTTACTCACACAAAATATTCGGGTACTAAAGTCTATATCGGAGCAAATTCGCTAAAATTGTTTGGTACTTTTTGAAAGCACAATTTTCCTGGAACAAATTCTCCTTTTATTAGTACTTTCCACTAAGGTAGAATTTATTCCACTTTTGGTACTTTTTCTTTATTCAAATGATACTCTTTGTATGTTCTATAATATGAATCCAAAACACATGGTTATTAAATAGAGACGGTTTTTTATGAATAAAATTCTTAAGGATAAAACTTTTTAGCACTTTTTATCTCTCAAATGGTAATTTTTGAATTTTCCAAAATATTAAACCTAGAAACATAAATTTGAACATGCATTGTCCTGACTGAATAATAATATGTAAGTGTGGACTCTTAGGTACTTTTGCATTCTTCAAATGGTACCTTTTGAATTCTCTGTAATGGGGGACCGGAACACATGACCACGGTCCTTATTAAATGAGAATTTATTGAGAGAGATTTTTGTACTTTTTCGTTTTTCTGCTGGTACTTTTGGAATTTTTTTGCGATATTGAAATTTAATATGTAGGGACCTTAGTGAATAGGAATCTAATGAAAGTGACTTTTGATACTTTTTCGTTCATCAAATTATATCTTAGAGAATTTTCTATAATATTGATCACAGTAACATTTGATTGAATGAGAATCTCTAAGAGGTGTTTTATAGTAATTTTTCCTTCTTTAAATAGTACTTTCGAAAGTTTCTATAATGTGGAAGTTAAACGAATGAAATTGAGAATATAAGCTCCTTATTGAATGCGAATTTATTCAGGTGATAAATTTCAATAATATTGAATGTAAAAAACAGAAACTTCATAAAAACTTTTAATCAATTAAAGTTTTCTATAAAAGTAATCAAAATTTTATATGTATGTATATAATTTTGATTAGGGTAGCGAAGCACCCAGGGTATTCTAGTGAGAAATAAAAATAATTTAAATTTATTTATTTATGAATATTAATGAATAAATTTAGCTTAATTTAGATTGCATTTGCCTGTAAAAAAATTTTGTTCAAACTTGATTTATTTATATCTTCATCGAATGAATTATTTATAATAATACTTGTGATATTTTAGGGAAATATTCCATGATATCTAAGTAGTGAATCTGTGCCGAATCTCATATACCCACCATCAAACCGTATGCCTTAAAAGGAATGCTCCCCCATAAACATCAGGATGATATTACTCATCAAATTAACTGAAGAGGACCTTATATGAGAGATAGGGTTAATAATTGACTGTTTTTCATAAATTTTTTTAGACCAATTTTGGTTCATACAAAACATCTTTACATCGAATATCATAAAATTAGGTAGTGAGATTTTGGATCTATGAAACTTATGTGTGTTAAACTTTATCATTATACTCGTATTTTTAAGCCAGTAATGAGCGTTAAAGTCATTTTCTGAAGGGGACCTTATAGGGGGGTAGGGTTAATTATGGACCGATCAACATAAAATTTGGTAGAGAGGTTTCGGATCATAAGAGACTTACTTATGTCAAATTTCATTGTTATACTAGTATTTTAAGCCAGTAATGAGCGTTAAACTAATTTTTTGAAGGGGACCTTATATAGGGGGTAGGGACAACTACGGACCGATCCACATAAAACTTTGTAGAGAGATTTTGGGTACATTGAAACTTATGTGTGTCGAATTTCATCACTTTTTAAGCCAGTAATGAGCGTTAAAGTCATATTCTGAAGGGGACCGTATATGGGGGGGTAGGGTCAATTATGTACCGATCCTCATAAAATTTGGTAGGGAGATTTTGGCTCATATGAAGCTTATTTGTGTTGAATTTCAACGCTATACTCGTACTTCTTAAACTTATATGCCCATTAAAGCTGTTTTTCGGGGGTCCACTTGTATGGGGGCTATCCGAAAACGTGGACCGATATTGCCAATTTTCAATACCAGACAAACCGCGATTTGTGGAAAATTTCAATCCCCTATCTCGTTCGGTTCGGACTCTATCGTGCTTTCAACAGACAGACAAACAGACAGACGGACGGACAGACAGACGGACAGACATGGCTAGATTGTCTTCGAATTTTATAAGGACCCAGAATATATATACTTTTGTGGGTCTATGACCAATATTTCGATATGTTACAAACGGAAGACAAAATCAATATACCCCACCATCTTTTTTGATGGTGGGTATAAAAATGTATACAATAGAAAAAGCGGTCAAAGTAAGTCTAATTTTTAAATATCTTTATGAAGAAGTGTCCACAAAAAACCTAATTTTTTCGTGTCCGTTTAGTTCTATAGGTGACTTTTCACTCACACCTGTCAAAGGATTAAGGTTGCAGAGTTTCATAAATATTTCTAAATTTGTATATTAAAGCAAGATCCGAATTGCATTTTTCCCTTTGGTTAAAATAGTTTTGAATTCTAGAATTTCCCAAAACTATTAAAATATTTGGTACTTTGATTTTTGATAAGTAGTATAATACAAAATAATGTATTCTTTACATTTCAGTGAATTTTGGTCAAAAATCATTAAACCTAAAATTAATTTTAATTGTTTGTCATTAATGCCGCATTAACTTAAAATAAAAGAATAAATTATACATGTTTGTACTTTTTGTTTAAATAGTTTTTTTTTTATTTTTAAATAAATCATTAAAAAAGTATTATTCTAGAATTAAGTTTTTTTTTTATAACATAAAATGTTTCCATATGATTATGTGATTAAATTGATATTTGTATGTGTTTTTTTTGTATATGTATGAGTTTGTATGAATTTATAATTATTCTACTTTCACAAATCCATTTAAATGTATCTTTTAGGTACATGTGACTTTAATTTTAAATTAATTAAAGAGGTAGTGGCAAGTTTGTTTTTTTTATTTATGTTTGTATAAAAAAATCAAATAAAAAGATATTACAACAACAAAAATAATCATAATAATAAATAAAATATAATAGAGAACAAATAAATTAGTGGAATAATCTCATCAATAGTTATAACGACGTCTTTGATTTGTATAATGAATGGCCAGTATTGTTGACAATACCAGAACAATGATCTGCAAAAAAAGTGATGAAAAATAAATTAATCAAACTTTGTAAAACAATTTAACAGATCAACAACAACTTACATTTAAACCCAGCAGACACCATTCAGAAATTTCGGTAGTTAAAGATTCATTCGAAAAGGCTTCCTCGACTTTGGTCAAACAGCCAGTGACATAAACATTTAGGGGATTAATGCAGTTGCCATCCTTGCAACAACTTGAAGGCAGTTGGCGATTAATGCGTCCATAATCCGCAAATGAATTGCGACCACAACATTCATACTGAAAGGATTAAAGAAAACATTTATTATTAGTATAAGTTTGACGCCTTAAAACACCCGAAAACACACTTACAATAATTTGTTTGCTATCCATGGCTCCTGACTGTATAATCTCTTGATCCCACAAATCATCAATTTCCTTAAGGGCGTAATTTTTAAATACATCTCGTGTATTGTAACAAATAAATACGATTGTCAGAACCAAAAGTATCAGCAGCATAACGGCATACTGTTGAAGGGCGTAAAAATTTGTAAGAACAACTATAATAATAGATTTTTTTCAAATTATTAACTTACAGTCCATAAACTACGTGCAGATTCACGTACGGCTCCAAAGCATCCGAATAAAAATGTTAGAAGTATGACACAACCCAATGCTATGATACCGATGGCGTAATTCTGGGGCATTGCATCCCAACCGAAACCAGCTAAGAGCAGTAAAAGGACACCCAAAATCTGAAAATGTTAATCATTATTAAATTAAAATTTCAATATTAGTCAGAATATTGTTATTCATTCTATAAGAAATATACGGAAAATTTTACTGATATCTGGAAATTTTAACCCTTACGATCGAAATTAAAGTTTTGGGAATATTTATCAAAGGAGACATTTTGAAGTAATACATGTGTGGATTACATAGTCCTATCCGGAGTTTTTTCAACACTTTTAGGTTTAATCACTGTCCGAAACTGATAAAAAAAACAAGTTAGAGTGCTATATTCGGCTGAGCCGAATCTTAAATACCCTCCACCAGCAACTTTTGTATTAATACATTTCTAATTAATAAAATATTTGTAGAAATAAGTTTTCTCATGTCTTAAATAGAAAAATCCCAAGATTTAAACAGCTTAAATCTACTACAATTCCAAGATTCATTGAACATTAGAAACGCCACTTTCATTTAAATTTTTATAGCGCCCTAAGATATGCTTAGGGCGATCGAAAAAAATTTTCACAGTAATATTTCTGTGCATATGAGTAATACTTGTGCCAAATTTTATATTGATATCTTAATTTAGTAATGAGTTATGCGCGTTTAAGTGATTTTCGGGAGGGGACCTTGTATGGGAGCTATGACCAATTATGGACCGATCGGAAAAAAATTTCACAGTAATATTTCTGAGCATATGAGTAATACTTGTACCATGGATATCTTAATTTAGTAATGTGTTATGCGCGTTTAAGTGATTTTCGAGAGGGGACCTTATATGGGAGCTATGACCAATTATGGACCGATCGGAAAAAAATTTCACAGTAATATTTCTATGCATATGGGCAATACTTACACCAAATTTTATTTGGATATCTTAATTTAGTAATGAGTTATGCGCGTTTAAGTGATTTTCGGGAGGGGACCTTGTATGGGAGCTATGATCAATTATGGACCGATCGGAAAAAAATTTCACAACAATATTTCTGTGCATATGAGTAATATTTGTACCAAATTTTATATGGATATCTTAATTTAGTTATGAGTTAAGCGCGTTTAAGTGATTTTCGGGAGGGGACCTTGTATGGGAGCTATGACCAATTATGGACCGATCGGAAAAAAATTTCACAGTAATATTTCTATGCATATGGGCAATACTTATACCAAATTTTATTTGGATATCTTAATTTAGTAATGAGTTATGCGCGTTTAAGTGATTTTCGGGAGGGGACCTTGTATGGGAGCTATGTCCAATTATGGACCGATCCATAAAATTTTTCCTCTGAGAGAATTCTATTGACATAAGATTTTAATTTGTAAAATTTGTGAAGATATCGACATTGTGGCGGAAGTTATTAACAAAAAACCCATTTTCCGGGAATATGTACTTTTGTATGGGAGGTATATGAAATTGTGGACCGATTCTGGCAATTCAGCAGGGCAATTTAATCAGCAGGGATTAAGATCTTGTGCAGAAACGAATGTATGGTGATTTCCATGAAATTATCTTGCATAGTTTTCGTGAAAACTACATCAGAATGTGTAAAAAACGCTTATTTTTTTCCGAGGTTGTTTTAAATTTTGATTCATAACTTTTCCCGGTGTGAACCGATTTTGCCCATTTGCAATACCAAACAACTTAGGAAAATGAAGAACATTTTGGGTGAATTTGGTTAAGCTCTATTGCTTCGTTTTATCGTGAGCGTGTTTTACACAGACAGACGGACAGACGGACAGACGGACAGACGGACATAGCTAAATCGACTCAGAATTTGATAAGGACCCAGAATATATATACTTTGTTGGGTCACAGATGAATATTTCTTGGTGTTACACACGGAATGACAAAGTTATATATACCCTCTATCACCACTGATGGTGGTGGAGGGTATAAAAACAGTTGAATCAAATGTTAGCCCTATTTAGTTCGAAATTGAGTACGAAATGAAGGTTTGTGAAAACTTTTGAAACCAATTGGACTATTTTCAATGTATTTTTATAGACTGCTAAACGGCTCGAACGATTTTCCTGAAATTTCCACAGTGTCTTCCTGTATGTCTGGAAGGAACTATAGGCTACCTTTTGTTTTGGAATTTCAAGTAGGCGAAGTTCCACGCCCACATACAAAGTTAGTCTTAAAAGTTGCATATCTCAGAAACTGCAACAGCTAGAGCCCTAACATTTTTTACGAACAACTTTGACATCCATAAGAATATTTGTGGATAAAATGGGCGGAATAGCTATAGTGGGCGTGGCTCCTTATATATAAATTAAATACAAAAATTCGTTTATCTGGAAAATTAATAGAACTAGATTCTTAAAATTTTTCACGTAGAACTTTAATATTCATCTAAACATTTTGGGGAAAAATGGGCGGACTTTCATCAAGGGGGGCTTGACACCCCCATATGAACTAAATAGAAAATTTGTATATCTGAGAAACTATTAGAGCTAGAATCTTCAAATTTTACATGAAGAACTTTGACATTTATGTGAACATGAAAAGCTATTATAGTAAGAATCTTCAAAATCGTTAAGTGAGTTTTTTATTTATATTGCTTTAAGGGTAGCAAAGCACACTGGGTATAGCTAGTATTATATAATTATAAAAATATATTTACGTTTAAGGGTTAATTTGGTTTTTTCATAAATACGGGTCTTTATTATATATTTCTCGCAAGTTTCATTTAAATCGGTTGAAAACAAAATAATATTTCACTATGGTTTCAAAAGAATTTCTCAATATTGCATAGCTTGAGTTTGACCTTCACTAAACTTCGACTTTACTAAAACTTCAGATGTGACACACCATAAATCGACATAATGAAAATGGACATTTTTAAAACAGAAATGTATTAGAAAATTTGTTTAGAATTTAAGAAAAGGACACTCTTATCCCGAAAAGAATTGCTACTAAATTCATGAATCTCGCATTTTGGATTCCTTCGGCTTCGTTAAATTAAGCCTTTTTGATAAATCGACTCTTTGAAATCCATGCAATTTATTTCACATTGCTCATGGGCATTGTGACACTTTTGAAAATGTCATAACGTCCGTGGAAATTATGACTTAATTTAATGTGTTGCGCCACCTAATGCATACGAGTGTTTTTCAAAAATTTAACAAAAAATTATTTTCTCCGAAACTGGATTTTTGAAAATACTGTCTGAAGGGTTTCCCATTTACGACTATACTCTAAATACGGTTTACGCTTTTTAATGGCCAAATTTTCCACTTCAGAGCCGTGGCTCCAAAATATATTTTTATAACTTTAAGTATTCAGTACTCAATACTTCTGAAAAATTACAGAATTTTATATTTTGGACTCCAGTATACAATCAGAAGGACTAAAGATGAAAATGTGGAAAATTAGTGGGTGGTACGACTATTTTATTTTCATATTTGAAATCAGCACACCAAATAATACTGGGATTAGTGAAAATTATTTAAAAAGTTTTTTCATCGTTAGTCAGTGTAATTTATTTCCAGCATTTTTATGCAATTTCCAAAACAAAAAAGCCATAAAATCTGGTTTATAAGATAAAAAGGAATTTTAAATCAAGAATTAAATATAAATATGGATTTTTTGTATGAAATATATTTTATACTTCAAATAATATTTGCAAACAATTTAAAAATAGTTTTGCTTAATAAAAATTAATTCATTAAAAATTCGTATGATGTTATAAATTGAATCATTTCCTCAGCTGTTATTTTTGTTTAATTTCTAATCTTTCTATCCACCCATATTTAAATGAAATCATTTCAAAGTTGCTTATATAATTAAACGTTATGATAATTTAAATGTCCAATATTAAAAATGACGTACACCATTTCCATTCAGCAATCATATCAAAATTGAGGTTTTCAAGATTTTAATATATTTTTTCTTTAGACAAATGAAATGTGTATAGAAATAGTATCCACCTTCGTGAAAGGGTATATACAATATGGACCGATGTTCGCCATACTTAACAGTATAATTTCTGGTAGAATAAAACTTACGTGTGTAAAATTTTATTACCATACAAAGATGGACATAATTCGTCTTAAAATCACATAAAAACCCAGAATATATGTACATACATACATATATACTTTTGGCATTCAAGTCCTACATTCCCATGTATGATAAATGATTATAATGATAAGAACATACAACATCTTTTGTTGTTGGGTATAAAAGGAGGATTCAAATTTTTAAACAATATTTAAATAAAATATTTTTTAACTAAAAATTATATTTTTATTAAAACAAAATCACCAATTTGTGTTTTGGATTAGAAATTGTGTAAATTATTTGATCACATACTTAGTTTACCTATAAGAAGTTGAATTTATAGTCAAACATTCTAATTAATGAAATCACATCACATACTGTGTGAATTAAGTATACCAAATCTAATAACTCAATGAATACGTACTTATGCATGTATATTATGCGAGGCTTATGTGTTAAATTCTGGTCAAATATTATTTAAGAATAATAATACCAACCACAAAAAAATGGGGGTATATTGATTTTGTCATTCCCTATGTATATGTATGTATATACAAAAATACAGTCTGGTTCCTTTTTAAACTGTAAGAAGATTTACCTCTCCGTCTGTCTGTCGATAGGAACCACACTGGAGAAGCTAGAGGGCTGAGCTTTTCAAATATCTGTCCACTATTTCACCAAGTGCTATATAAGAAAATTACTTTATGGCTTATGACAAGTTTTACGGGAACCAAAATCTCTCTCAGAATATATTAAGATCTGTATATAATTGATATGTTCATATAAGGTCTACTTCCGAAAATGACTTTAAATCTCATAACTGATTTAAAAATTTTAGTACACAAGTTAGTATGAAGAGGATCGGTCCATAATTAGAAAATTACTTTTAGTATCAGGGCTGGCTGGAAAATACAAGTATAGCGATGAAATTGGACACAAACTAGTTTTATAGCAATCGAAATAACTCTACCAAATCGGTACATAATTGACTCTATATCTCTTAGAAGGTCCCTAGCAACAGTATAACCCTCACATGGGAAAATATTGCAAATCTTTCAAAAATCATGATTATCAGATTAAAATCAATCAAAACATAATTTTCATTCTTATACAAGTAATTATCACATAGCCCTCGTTTATACATACATACATATGTGTAAGACAGGGTTGGCAAAATTTTTACTATTGTACTTTTTTTGGTACAATTCTATCTTCAAAAGTACATCAATGACCCATTTTGTACAATTTAAAAATATATGCCCTTATTGAAATAATAATTTCAAAATAGTTCAAAGAACTTCCAACTTCGGTCAGATTTTTACTAAACAGGATATAATAAAAAATCCTGGAAGGGTCAACATTTAAAAAAAGAGAGTACTTTTTAGGATAATTATTTAATCCGATCGCATTTCTATTCTATGAATTAATCTTTGGACTAGTACATAGGCTATTCTATAAACTAGACTATACACTAATCTAATGTCAAATCTATAGACTAGTCTATTGTCTAGTTTATAGGCTACTCTATCTTCTAGTCCATAGAGTCAATAGACTGTTTATTGATTAGTCTAAGAACCAGTCTAATGAATAAATGTTCTTATTTATTGATTAGTCAAATGACTAATCTATAGTTTTAAACTAGACGTTTAAAATGTTTCTAGGGACTATCCTATGAAGTTTATTGTCTAGTTATAGAATAGTCTCCCGTCTATTCTACATCATAGCCTATTGCCTAGTCAATGGACTAGTACATTGATTAATGAACTTGCTTATTAATATGACTGAAGAAGTCAGCTTGAAATGCTTTTGCTTTATATTGATGTAAATTTGCTAAAATATATGTAGATTTGGTACAATCGGATTCAAAAAAGTACACTTTTAAATGCTGTTTTGTACAATTTGAAAATTTCATTTGCCATCCCTGGTGTATGATGTATGTACGTGAAGATAACATTAAATGTTAAAAGTAAGTGAATATTCAACATAACACCAACAACATGAATAAAAAAAGTTGCGGCTAAACACGCACATCATCTACTAAATAGTATATGTTCGTACAACAGCAACAAATACGAGTAGCGAGCGACTAGGCCACACGGACTGTCAGAGCTTTTTGAAGATGATATCATCTGCCAAGGTAACACAACTAAGTACAGCAACAATGACAACAAGTAAAAGACACATATGAACTAATAAAACATGCATTAAGATGGTTCAATTTTAAACAAATTTATTCTTAACGATTTCATTCAATCGATTTTTTTTTGGATAAAGTACAAGAAGTACTTAAGTACACATAGGGAAAAAGAAATATACACGATTGGTACCAAATTGACACCAAAGCGTTTATAATTTTTCAATAACATCCGTTGTCTAAATGTTAAGAAACGTGGTAAGCTCACTATTGGCAACGGATTGTTTGTCTTACCACGTTTGTTAATATTTAGACAACGGATGTGTATAAAATTTAGATTTCGACAACGAATTGTTGCAATGTTGTCAACATTTCATAGAGTTGTTGTACGTATGTATATACTTTGACAACGGATGTTATTGAAAAATTATAAACAGTTTGGTGTCAATTTGGTACCAGGCGTGTATATTACTTTTTTTCCACTGTGTACAAAGTTTTTTTATACTTTTCACATTTCATAATCTAGAGAATAAGTAGATACAGTTTTGAATCTATGTTGGGTTCTTTGCTGATATAAATTGATTCAAATATAGTACATAGAGTTCTAGCGATAGTGTCCGAAAATAATTTTTCATACTTTTTTGATAGATTTATTCGTGTTATTAGACGATTTGACAACTTTAGACTTTTCTAGTTGGATGCCGTTAAAAGCCAATGACATGGAACTAATCCAGAAATTATCCGTTTTCTTCTCTAAGAAAACAAATATTCATAATGCCCATTCGACGTTCAAAAACAATTAAGTAAAACGCTATAAGGCCAAAATTAATGAACCCAGGAGATAGAGATTATCTACATGTATTCTCTATTTATCGGTCCAACCTAAAATGCGACAAATCTGTTTAAAGTTCTACATAATAGCATCGTTTGTGCAATAACAATTTCTCATCATAACTTTTGGTAAAATTGTTGCTGCTGTGACAATATTTGGCTAAATGGTACATCGAATTTTAGGAATTAAGATTCCCATTGTATTTGTAAAACATAGGAATACATATTGCTGATAGATCCACATGAGCTATATATGTGTATATACAGATATACCCACCTGTTTGTTAGTTTGTTATGAACAAAATAAAAGTAATATGTATGTATGTATATTTGTTGAGTAGAAATGTTTGAAAATAGACCAAATTGTTCTACAAAAAAATACATACATACATATGTATATATATGTATATATATATACAAAATTGTCTATCCACCCAATGCGTAAAAACAATTAATACAATTTTCCAAAAATATACCTCGCCAATGTCTATAGCTAGACAAATTCTTAAAAAAACAATTGATAATATACAACTTATTTTATACCATACAAGTAGCACCATCCTAATATTAAACTGTGGAAGTTAAAAAAAAACATTTGATATCTAATACTTTTTCTTTATTATTACAGAGTTAAAAGTTGTTGTAAAATTTTGTAATGAAAAGTTTTATTGCAGCAACCGAAAGAAACCCTAGAAGAGTCATTAAAGTTTTGCGTCTTGCAAATGCAATTTTCATTAAACATTATCATCATTTCCACTTTTCTATTTTATTAACAATTAAAAAAAATGTAACGGATTTCAAAGGTTCAAATTATAATTGTTTAACCAACTGTATTTGATTAAGCAGTTTTAGCTGTTTGATTAATTAATTTTAGCATTTGTTCTCTTTATGTATTTATTGTAACAGTTTTAATTTGTTGTTTATTTAAAATAATAACAATTAAATTGATTATTTACTTACGGCCCATAGTGTATTGAATATAAATAATGTACATTTAATTGTTTTCGTAGCACAACCCATTTTTGTAAAATTTTATTACTTTAAAAAAAAATCTATTTGTTTAAATAATGAATTAATGTCTGGTTAAACACAAAAAGAAAAATTAACACCGAGCGATTTTTTGGCGGCACGTGAACTGAAAATACTCCGCTTCAACAATGTTTACGCAAAATCAAAATTTTTCAAATATTAAAAAACGCCTTTTTTATTTAAATTTCAAAATCAAAACGCACAGCGGGTTCCAAAAACACATTTCAAATACGCGTAAAATCAAATAGACGATGTGAAGAGAAATGAGTGAAATGAAATAGACAACTGTCAAGGGCCACGGTCACGAGCAAACTAAATACAAAAAAACTTCTAATATTTGCATTTACTGCGAAAAAATAAAAACAAAAAATATAATAATAAACAAAACAACAAAATAAAAAAAATTTATTTTTATACTCATACGGATTGGACTACGTACATACTTACAAACAAACTTACGTATTCTAAAGTCTAATGCTCCTCTCATCATCATTCAACATCATACAATAAATATCTAGAAAATAACACAAACAAAAACACTGTATTTGAGGCTTTCCATATACTTTTTTTAATTATTTTGGAATTTTTATAAAATATTTTATAATAAATGCTTGATATTTAAACATAATTAGGAATATTGATAATTCATCAAAGAAAAATATGTTGGGTTTTCAGTAAGAACTTGATTTTCCAACAGGAAAAATTAAAGTTTGGATATAGACTTGTTGGTACAGTAGTAAATACGTAGGGAATTGTTACAATTAATTCAATTTATCTCCAAAATTTCTATCTCATTCGAGTCATTTATGACTCTTCTGCACAATTAAAATGATATATGCGCTCATTTTTCGATCATAAATGATATGATCGTCGGGAGAAAATGGTACCTTACCCGCGACTTTTCTAAAATAGTATTTTATGAGTACTTCTCCTGATCAGATCTGATTCATTAGTCGTTTTAGAGTCATTTTTGAATCGTATTATAGTTGTTTGCTACAAAGAAATACAATTTCGTTACAAACAATCACATAAGAAGCAATTTAGACCTTCCAACTGGCTGAAATCCCATCTAGCAATTTTTGAAATTTTTGATCACATTCGAGTTATTTATCAGTAATTGGAATCATTTTTTAAGCTCGCTACTAATTAATCAGTTGGGACACTAATCACCCGACTAAGTTTAGTAATTAGTCAGCTTAGAAGATCGTTAAAGATACACAATTAAGGCCCAAATAGACTACGCAAGCGGCTTATCAAACATACTTTTTCATTCGCACACACACTACACAAACATTGCTCGTACAAACACCGATTTTTTCACGTTTTTATGGACTTGCAAGGATACAGATGACAATTTTTCTTTGAAATGTAAATTATTGTGAAAAATTTGTTATTAATAAACAATACAAACGGTTTGAAAAAAATTCAATATGTTTGTGTAAAAATCAATTTTTTTTTAATTTTTATACAAACAAACAGCAAGCATTTGTACAAACACGAAACACTCTCATACACTACACAACAGGCTTGCACAAACGTAAAATATTGGTATGTTTGTCAAGCCGCTGTAGTCTATTTGGGCCTTTACTATAATTATAATTAAAACTTAATATCATTTAAATTTCCTTTACAGAAATTCTTCTTTATACTGCACAAACTCAAATAATTATACATTTAATATTATAAACGAAATGAGAATTATATTAAAAAAAATTAGGCCACAGAAAATTGTTTGCCAACTCTTCTAAATGAGTCTTTTATGAGCCTCTTTTCTAAACAGTTTCGACTCATTTTTGAATAATTTTTTTTAGCCATTTTTAAGTGTTGGTGTTGTTGTTTCGTTACAAACAAAAACAATTACATAAAAAACAATTTCGGATTTTCCAACTGCTTGAAATATGATCACAAGATAATTTTGAAAACTATCATCTTTCAAACACCAGAATGATCAATTTATGATTGCTATACATTTTGTTATTGTTTTTTTTCATATAATCAGTTTTTAATCATATAACGAGATCATTTTCTTATAATTTTTTAAGTGCGCAAATTATTGATCACTTTGAGGTCATCAAAAAAGTCAAAAAAAGACTCATCTTTCAAACACCAAGATGATCAATTTATGATTGCTATACATTTTGTTATTGTTTTTTCATATAATCACTTTTTAATCATATATCGAGATCATTTTCTAATAATGTTTTAAGCGCGCAAATTATTGATCACTTTTAAGTCATCAAAGGAGTCAAAAAAGACTAGTTTATTGATTAATCATCCAACAATCTTTTTTGAAAACCATCATATTTTAAACAACAGGATGATCAATTTATGATTGCTATATATGTTATTATTATTATTTTCAAATAATCAGTTTTTAATCGTTTATCGGGATCATTTTCGAAACATGTTTGTGGGTCAAAAAAGACTCAGTTTACTCATTAATCTTTCAACAATCTTCCAAATGCTAGCTGGGATATTCGTCCTTTTAAGGCCATGTCGATTGGTTCTTTTAATGAAATAACGCAGTATTGCAAAATGTAGTATTAACTTGAATCTGGTCTCACAATTTCCACGTCACGTTTTCCCTGGTAATGTACAGATTAACCTAATCTGTCAACAGCTAGAGTAGAAAGGCGATCATGCAGCTAAGTAGTCTGAAAGATTCTTTAATACTTGTGCGTCTCTGCGAAAATAAGCGATGCAACTTTGGCCGTTTAGCAGCTAGACTACCTAGAGGTTGTTGGCAGCTCCAACACTGGAACATCAATGCTATGGAAAGACCCATATATAAAATATGGGTAAACAATAACAAAAAAATACCACCACAACAGTAGAGCAGAGCAACTAAAGTATGAAGTATGTACTGGTTCGTATCTGTTGAATGCTTATTGTCGTTTGTTTTGCTTTGTTGTTTCTCTAACAAGAGATATATTGAGTTCATATACAATTTCCATAATATGACTTGTTTATAAAGACCTAAAACAAAAAAAAAAGCTTAAGCACCAAACAAACAATTCAAATAAACCAACCAACCACCATCGTTGTTGCTGCCGCTGTCGACGTCCAAAAAGCAAACAAAACAAACAAAAAGCCCATCCATCCATCCATCGTAAAACATTTAACAATTCGAGTATTAAACCAGATGTTACCCACGATTCTATTTACAATTCCAAGAGCAAAATGAAATATTCAACATTTTATTGTTTTTGTTTTCTTTTTTCGAATTCACATTTAACGGGCGCTTTGTAAGCAGTTGACATTACAAATTGTCATGTTCGTTTGGTTGTTCGTTAGCTATTCCCATGAACATTCAACAGTTAGATTGCGATACTTGTGCAAGTACTCGCGCAATCCTACCACTCTCGATACATTCCTCAACACTTTTTGTTTTTGTGTTGAAGAACTAACTGATCTCGTCATAAAAAGCAATGATGTCAGAATTTTCAAATAAAAAACCAGTATTTTTTTAGAATTTTTCTTCAATACTATTTTTGAAATACAGATTCTGTGTAGTATTTTTTTTATACTTCAATGTGTTTGAACATAAGTTTGTATAAGTAAAACTATAAAAAACAACATATTACGTGATTTTGTTGGAGTAAGATTTTACGATTATGAATGAAATCAGATCTTGAGTTTTGTAATGACCTAAGCAAGTGATGTGTGCGTGTGAACAAATATGACCGGCTGGCACTTTAATATTTTTATGACTACATAAGTACATACATACGTACATATTACAAATTTATGTAAAATATCTTGTATTTATTCTTAATGATGAAACATCGAAAAAATAGGTATGAAGGTAGCTTCCGACCCTTGGAATGCGAATAATAGCCGACCCTTGGAATGCGAATAGCCATTTAAATGTCGCTAAATCCCTGTCCTAAGCCATCGACTACGATCAACAATGGATATACTATATCTATCAAGGGGTGGCAATAATTGCAAGACAAAGTAGATAAGTAAAATACCAAAAGGGCTGTCTGCAATATCATCAGCTCGAGGATCAGCGACAAATAGCACTATTCTTATAAAAGTTTTACATTGTAAAGTCTTTTCATTAGAAATATTGACTATCATTTATATTTATTTCGCTGACCTAAATGTGCAAGCTGGACAATAATCTTTGGTTCCAGCAAACAATCGATATTTGCGCATCTTGCCGATATCAATAGACCTCTTAGAGTTGATAATAATAGATGTTTTATCGTGTTTTGCTTTAAACACCCATTTGGACCATCCTTTCAATTGACAAACTGAAAAAGATGAAGACAGTCGCAGTGTCTTGAAAAAGATGTGGGAGCTATCAATCCTTTGGACCAAATATGTTTTTGACCGACCGTTAATAGTATTTTTGAAGAGGTTAACAATTATTAGGCATCTGAATAATTGAGGAATAAAAATTTTGTATGTGGCATTAACCCTAACACTTTAATTCAAGCGTTTGTTCTTTTCTTCAACTCACGATGATTTGGCATGGATCTTAGTTTCTATCACAAAATATGTAAAAGATTTTCTCTTATTTTCAATAACTCGAATATTTTCCACGAATATTATTTATCTATCTAGGAAAAGATTCAATGAATTCAAAAGATCTGGTGATTGATGTAGATCATAAGGCCTCTGTAAATAAATTATAAAATTAGGTTATAAATGCTAAATGCATTTTTTCTGTGAAAACATCGAAAATTTCTCCGAGGCAAGCAAGAATGATGGCAAATAGACAACGAGTGGACAAGAATCTTTACAAGAATTACTGGACACTCACTTCCCAGGTAACTTACCATTGAACAATACAATGAAAAGACCACGAATATACAGTCAGGCCCTCTAAGGCTTTGTCATATCAACGATCAGGTACTCCAAAATAGAATCATCCGCTCCCACATGCGAACGGCGTGGATCCAAAGAATGATAAATAGAGGTACACATCTAGGTGGAGTCCTGTCACCACTTCTGTGAAATGTAGCCATAAATAGTCTATTCAGAAAATTCCCTAAAGTATAAGAGTGTTGCATACTCGGATGACGTTGAGGTAACCAGGGTTTCATCGTAATACCATTTCTTAAATACTCAAGATAGAACTTAATTCACTAAGTCGATGGAGCAATGGAGTACTTTATATTAGGAAATATAAGATCAATAGCTACACGCTACCTCGATTGAATGGGGTCGAATGAAACTAATCACGCTGCTATTAAATCTCTAATTGTGTATATACTACATCTATATTAGTCCAGGAATGCCGGGCTCCCTTACATAGGATGGCGAGACATACAACAATTGTGCTCAAATGAGTTCGAGGACAGGGCGAT